CCTGAGCGCTCCTTGAGCGGAATTATCTCATGGGCCCGACACGGGGAAAACTCCTCGAGCAAGTTGCGGGAGCTACATCTTTTAACCGGGAACGGGACCCCGTGACGCAGGCGACCTAAGATCAAGTCATGGCTCCTACTACAGGAACCACGACTTGGGGGGCTTCTGTTCTGGACTGGGCCGGGCTGGCCCAAAAGCAATGGTGAAGGCCCAATCCAAACGGTCTTGCAAGGAATCACGCCGACCAAGGGACACAGTCGTGCCCGACACTCTATGCCAGTGCGACATCCTCGACTTCATACTATCCTGCTCGACCTCAGCTCGAGCACTCTTCCTAGGGCAGACTCTGTCCACTACACCACCACCTAGATCCCGAAAAGACCGCGTCCTCGTCCGCCGTACTTCACGCAGAACATCCAGGAAGGGGACTACGTGCGGGTCCCCACTACACACGTAGAACCTGGCAGTTCCTCCATTGGGCCAAACCTGCCCGGCCCAATGAAGGAACCTTGGCCCAGTACTGGGGGCTATAAATACCCTCTGTTCCCAGAGGGTCAGGTATTCATTCTTTTACCCATACTCATACTCTTGCCTGCTCGTGCTCTTACTTACTTCAGCATCGGAGTGCCTTGCAGGTACCCCCCCACCTCGTTCAAAACTTCAGCTCGGAGCCAGCCGTGACGGTCCAAGTCTGATCAGGTTAGATCACCTATGATGCATAATCTCTACTTTACATGCCTTAAACTTGTTAGACACTCTATAATTAATTGCTTGCACATCTGTTAGAGGTCTCAATTCAAGCATTCAATGCAAGGCCATGCTTTATATCCATTTTGGGAAGAAAGTGCACAATGCCATTTTGATAAAGTAGCTTTTTGCACAAAACTTGTTCTTGAGCCTTGCAATTGTTTTCTTCTGATCATACATGTCATATAACTCAGAGAAGTTGATCTCAACACTTACAATCACCCAGCCCATGCTTGTACCTCATCTTGGAACCATATTTCCCATTTTTTTTTCAAAATCAAGTAACATAGCAACCAACCTATAACTTGTACTTCTGACTCTCCCAAGCACTCAAGCTTTTTGCTTATACATACACAAGTAATTTTTCAAAAATCCCACACATGCTTGAGCCCTGAAAACACCAAGAACTCATATTTACCTCTCATACCTCCATTTTCACATAACCTGACCAAAAGTTTGAAACTCATAACTCCCTCGTGCATTTTCAAGCCTCTTTGTTTCTAAAGCTTCTAAACATCATTTAGAAGTCATCCCTTACCATGTTACAGTTCTGTAACACCATCTTCCTCCATTTCCAAGTTCAAAAACAGAGCACTGCAAGTGGACTTCTCCAGACCATTTCATCCACTCTCCAACCTAGCTAATCATTGCATTAGTTTCTTGGGACCTCATTGGAGCTATTCTGATCATCACAGCACCTTGAGGAGTGCTCATTTGCAGAACACGATTTCTAATTTTGAGGTAAGTTATCTCAACTTTGAACTCTTCATATAGGCATCATTAATGGTTTATTTGTGAATGAAAAATGTAGGTATCATTGCTCCAAAGCTAACCATGTCTATAGTTTTCATTTTTGTTGCTTGAGCTTAGAGAATTTTAGGATTGAAGTTTCTGAAATTTTTAGGGTTCATATTAGGGCCATTAAAATTCATGCTTGTTTTTTATATATAATTTTATTGCTTTGTATTTCTGAAATCGTGAGGAAATTTGCCACAAGATTCATGTTTACATTTTTGCAAATGGATGAGAGATTAACAAGATGCATGTAATTTGGATGGGCGTGAGGTTAAAGATGAAGTTCAGGCCATGGACTTGATTTCTAATATATATTTATTGTTTTGTTTATATGAACGGATGTATAGCCACCCCAGTGGTAAAGCGCACACCTGTTAACCTTTGGGACCTGAGTTCGAGCCCCAGTGGTACCCTTTTGCTTATTTTCTCACATTTTCTCATTTTGACACTTGTTTGCAGCGCTGGGCGTCCCCCCTTTGGGCTTTGTATTTTTGCTACATTCTGACCCCCTGCTCACTATTCACACCTCGCCCATTTTATTTATTTTTCTCATTTTATTTATTTATTTGTTTTCTTAAATATTTTATTTAATATTAAAAAATCAGAAAATAATATAAAAAATATATATTAGATTTATATTTTGATATAGTTTATTTATTTTTTACAATAAAAAATACTTTTATTTTAAACATATTTTATTTATTTTACTAATTAATCTACAAATTTTATTAGAAACTAGGTTTTTTAGTTATTTTCTTTTACACAATTAAAATATATTATTTTAAAATATAAAAAGACCAAAAATATTTTATAATACTATAAATTATTTTTAAGACGAAAATACCAAAAATATTCTACTTACAAACTTAATTTCTTTTTTAATCAATTAATATTTAGATTAGGGTTTTATTTAAATTCTTTTCCTAGTAAATTTAAGTTTACTTTTTACTAATTTAATTAATTATTTTTCTTTTAGTTAATTAGGTTAAAACAAAACCCTTTTTCCTAAAAAAATTCAAACAAAAATCCATTTTCTTTCCATCTTACATTCTTGTATATTTATTCATTTTTGTACATTATTTATTCAAATTCAATATGGTTGTAATAGATAATTAGGTTTACTTTCTAGCAATCCCCATTTGTAATTTGTACACCCCCTTCCACAAGTATTATAGTAGCGTAGTAATTTTAAATTCTGAAATTTATTGTTTTATATAAATGCTAGTAATTAGGGTTTGTATGGAAAGACTAAAATCAATCAAGTAGCAAGCCCTAATCAAAGACTAAACAAAACATGATAATCAACACACTTGCACACAAGCACCCATAGGATAAAATCCACTTGGTTGCCTTACAAAATAACCATGTTACGCATGTGAGGTGTCTTAGCAAAAACAAACAAACACAAGATCATAGTCCCTCGACGACGCTATCAAAAGTTGCCTTTCAAAATGATCTTAGTCCCTAGAGAAAGATGCTAAGATGCCTTTCAACATTGCTAATCATGGTTATACGATGACCCACACCCGTCCCGTTTACATCCAAAGATAGGGTTGCTTACCAAATCAATGGTAAGATAACAATGTCAAAAGAAGGAAAAAATAAACAAGAAAGACTTTTGAGTAGGTAGAACGTTCCTAGTTGCTTGCTCAATTTCAAAACCAAAAATATCCTTGCTATCTTTAAAAAAAACCAATACTTTCAAAAACATCTTTCAAACTTAAAAAATATTTTCAAAAGATCAACACTTTGTATACATTCTTACGAACGAGAATCATTACAAAGTTTGCCTAAACGATGACACATTTTCAAAATACTTTCAAAAACCACACAAAATACATTTTCAAACAAAAGCAAGTGATCTAGCAAGTAACTAAGAGCCCATGGAAAACCATGGATAAAAAGGGTGCTAATATCTTCCCTTTTTATAATCTACCCCCCGAACTCAAGAAATAATTTCAAAGGTCTTTCCTGTGCTTTTTCACCTTTCCTTTTGGATAAAAGAAAAGTCGGTGGCGACTCTTGCTAACCGCAACATTTTGCGATAAAACACAAAACCTTCAAGTCAGTTCTCCCACCGCATCACAGCTGGACTCCATACACACGTAAGCCCTGACAATTCCCATTATTGGGCCTTAACATGGCCCAATAATGGGAACCTTGGCCCAGTGCTAGGGACTATAAATACTCTCTCTTCTGAGAGAGTCAGGTATTCAACTCTTTCTAAACTCTCATACTTACTTGCTCATTCCCAAACTCATTTTGATATCATAGTGTCTTGCAGGTACCCCCACTTCACTCTCAACATCTGCTCGAGCTAGATGTGACAGTCCATTCTGATCAAGTACGATCAAATTATAAATTTAAACTGTAAAAAAAATAAGAATGAAAAAACGTATAAGAGTTCTTAAACATTATAATTATAATCACAAGCTCAATATATTTCATAAGCTCTTAATTAAAAATTAAATGAATACATAGACGGGTAAACAAATATTATTTTTTAAATGAATACATAGACAGGTAAACAAATATTTTTTTAATGATTTCTTACCATTTAATTTTTTTTTTATAGTTTTAATATATTTAGTTACAAAATTTTATATTTATTTTATTTTATTTTTAACATAAAAATAAGATTGTAATTGGTGTGAATAGTCTTTATCACTCAATTATATAATTCTAAATATTTTTTTAAAACTCTAAATAAGGGTAACAAGATATATATGTTTGAAATTTTAAATAATTTTTCTATTTATATTGAAAGACCTATCAATATGCATTTAAGGTAAATTTTAAAAAATATATAAAAAATTGTAAACTTCTCAAATAATTTACATTCACTAATATAATATAAATATAAAAAATTTATTTGTATTCGAAAAAAATTTATTATTCATATAAATTATTATTCATCTAAATATTTTTATACACAAAATATTATTTATGATTTAAATATTTTTTATTTAAAAAAGATATACAGAAAATAATTTATTATTGATTTAAATATTTTTATATACGAAAATTTACTATTAATTCAGATATTTTTATAACCAATACATAAATAAAAATAATATTTATATACGAAAAAAATTTAATATTGGTCTAAATATTTTTATATAAGAAAAATGTTATTTATAATCTAAATATTTATGATTAAAAAATGTTATAGAATTTTTTTTTATTATTAATTTAAATATTTTTATATTAATTTAAATATATATATATATATATATTTATATATTACGTAAACAAATACTATCGGAACAGCACCCGTGCGTTTTGTTACCAGTTACTTTACAAAGTTTGAGTTCTCCCTTTCCTTTTAACCTAGCTCTCGCCACTGAAACTCAACCACGCCGTCTTCACCACCCTCCGCCGCAAACGCACCGATTTTGCCGGCGGTTAACTACTTACACTATTTCTTCTACTTTTCAGTTTTTTCAAACTAATCGAAGATGACTCGTGGCATAAAACATCGCCAAAAGGCAAAGAGCAAGACAAAGGTATCATTTTTGTTTCACTTCGTACTGTTTTTTTTTTGTGTGTGGAAATTTCTAATTTTTGTGATTTTTTTTTGAAGAAACGGAGTGAATCATCGTCTTCAGCACCACAGGTTCCGGTTAAAGTGTGGCAACCTGGGGTGGACAAATTGGAAGAAGATGAAGAGCTTCAGTGTGATCCTTCTGCTTACAACTCTCTTCATGCTTTTCATATTGGATGGCCTTGTCTTAGGTTTGTTTACTATCTGTAGCACCAATGCCTCCGAAAAAAGACGAGTCTATCATGTGAATAATTGTCGATGTCTGAAACTGACACTGACCTTGTGATTACGTTTAATTAATTAATTTTTTTCAAATTATTAAGGGTGTTGACGTGATAGTGTTGGTATCGTGTTTCTGGTGTCTGTGATTCATAATGCAATCTCTGTCATGAATTTATTTTTGTTTGACACTTTTGACAGCTTCGATATTTTACGTGACACCCTGGGTTTAGTTCGAACAGAATTTCCGCACACAGTGTATTTCATGGCAGGAACACAGGTTAGGCTTATATGTTTTGTGTGTGTGTGTGTGTGTTTATTTGTTTATACTTTATATGATGATGTTTCAGACTTTCAGTTAATCAACCTTGAGCGTGTAACTATTCATTAACTCATCAAATGGGGTAACACAAAAGTTGATATTGGGCTGTGTAGGCAAATATGTAGCAGAATTTTTTCTTTCTTCAATGGACTATTAAGTTTGGACTTCACTTTTTTTTAAATCGTGACCTACAAATTGCAGCATCATAACAAAAAATAGCGCATAACATCCATGTGATGCTATCGGGTAGTTTTTTTATTAAGCCCTGTAGGAAATTAGTTTGGAGAAAGATTTTATTTATTATTATTAATGTTATAATCATAAGTAGTGATTATCACTATAAAAATAACACTTAGCATTTCCTAATCATGTTCTTTACTAGCTTTGTTTCTTGTGTCTTTTGCTTTTATTCGAAATCTCATATTGATATGATGTTGCATGTGCCGCAGGCTGAGAAACCTTCTTGGAATTCTATTGGGATTTTTAAAGTATCCAATATTTCTGGGAAGCGACGTGAGCTTGTGCCTAAACATGAAACTGATGACTCTGGAGTGGATGGTGAGGATAGTGACAGCGAGGATGATAGTGATGATGAAGAAGAAGGTGGTGCCACGGGTCCGACTTTGCAGGCAATCTCCTCTTCATCCGCTTTCATAATATTTCATTTCTCAAAAGTTTTGAAGTTGATCTTACTCACATATTTCATTCTGTTCAAATCTTCAGTTGCGGAAGGTAACTCATGAGGGTTGTATCAACCGGATACGCGCCATGGCACAAAATCCTCATATATGTGCAACTTGGGCAGAATCTGGTCACGTACAGGTTAGTTTTTTAATTTTTGGCGAACTTTGATGAAGGCTTCCTTTATTTTTTGAATTTAAAACTGTGAAAATTCATGTGATATGGCAGTGTCAGTGCTCATTATGTTATGATAAAATATATAACAACACTAATATAGACCACAAAGCAGTTAGGGAAACTTCAAGTGAGTTTTAGTTTATTCTGTTGCAACTGTTATGTATACCCCTATATTATAGTTTAACAGAACAGTTTAATTTTTATATACAAGCCCTTTTTGAACATGTTCTAACAATTTCCAACCCATATTTAGCACAGCTACAGAACTAGTTGAAGCAATACAGAAGATCTGATTTGTTTGAACTTATTTTTGAGGGAAACTATAAATGATAATTGTCAATGAAGTCATGCGAGCCTTCTTTTTTTTGCATTTTATCTGAATCTGATACTTTGAGCAATCGATTTGTAGATCTGGGACATGAGCTCCCATCTCAATGCTCTAGCAGAGACAGAAATGGAAGGTGTCCAAGGAGTTGATGTAGTTCAGGCTCCACTGCAAAAATTTAAGCACAAAAATGAAGGCTATGCTATAGACTGGAGTCCTCTTGTTCCAGGAAGGCTTATATCTGGTAATCCCTGGGTTTATTTAATTTTATTTGTTTATAATTTTCTCTAGCATACATTCATATTAGTTACCAAATAGATCTAAGGCTTGATGTTGACCTCCGTGTTTGAAGGGGATTGCAATAACAATATTTATCTTTGGGAGCCTGCATCTGCTGCAACATGGAATATTGACACAACTGCTTTTACTGGACATACGGGTAGTGTTGAAGATTTGCAAGTATGTGCTCACGTGCAAAGCAAAACTAGTACCTTATGTTCTTCTTGTTTCGATTAAATTTTCAGAGCATTGCCGTCTCTTAGATATGTATTTTTATTCATTTATATGTATGATGAGAGTTCTATCGTTCAATGAATCCTTGCAGTGGAGCCCTACAGAACCTAATGTTTTTGCTTCTTGTTCTGTGGATAAAACTATCGCAATATGGGATACTCGTGGGAGGTCACCAGCTGCGTCTTTTAAAGCACATAATGCCGATGTGAATGTATTGTCATGGAACAGGTATTTTAGCATTGACTCTTGGTGTTCCATCATCTCGATTTTCATTCTATATATCTTCATGTTGTTGTACTTTATTGTACTGAGCAGGTTGGCCAGTTGTATGTTGGCGTCGGGTAGTGATGATGGAACTATATCTATTCGGGATCTCAGATTGCTTAAGGTATGAATAGCTTGACTATTGTCTGATTTTTTCGCAACCCCTTAGCGAATCCCAGACCTTTAGTAGGAGTTAGGAGTAAGAGGAATTCAACTATTTTGATTTTGTTATTAAATTAAAAATGACGTGAAAGTGCCTTATTTTGTGAATAGGAAGGAGATTCTGTGGTAGCGCATTTTGAATACCATAAGCATCCCATCACATCCATTGAGTGGAGTCCACACGAGGCTTCTTCACTGGCTGTTTCATCCTCTGATAATCAACTTACGTAAGTAATATGATATTGATAGCGGTACATTATCCACAGAGTTGTTGGTCAAATTTTTAACAAATTTCAGGGCTTTACTCTCATATTATCTCGGGGTTTTATCGACTCTGAAAATAACTTACGCTTTACATTACCAAACTGCCCTATTTTCTTTATCACTTCCTTTGGATTTTAACAAGATTTGTAATCCTTTGCCACAGAATATGGGACCTTTCTTTAGAAAAGGACGAGGAAGAGGAGGCTGAATTTAAAGCTAAAACCCAAGAACATGTAAAAGCTCCTGAAGATCTGCCTCCCCAACTATTGTTTATTCACCAGGTAATTTGAATCACTTTGCTCAACATTTTCTACTTATCTTATTCTTATGACATAAATACTTGTGTAAGTGTTTGAAAGAACTTATAAGAATAGTTTGTCATGTCTGTTTACATCTTATTAGGCATATCCTGTTTTTAACTTGTGAAAACTGCTTAACCACATTCCTTCTTGATTATACAAAAGCTTATGTATATAGGTGTTTAATTTAGCTGTTTACCATGGTATTTATTCTCTTATTTCCTTTAACTGAAACAGGGGCAAAAAGACCCCAAAGAACTTCATTGGCACACACAGATTCCTGGAATGATAGTATCTACTGCAGCAGATGGATTTAATGTTCTCATGCCTTCAAATATTCAGAGCACCCTGCCATCGGATGGTGCTTGATATGTGGCCCCGCTGTTCAGTTTCCAAGCACGTTACAAGGGAGATATCTGCGTTAGGTATTGCTATTATAGTTTGGATACGGTGTTTCACAGTGCAAGCATCCTGAATCTAATGTTATGTCAGAGAAATTTTGCTTCTGTACTTTATTAATTTCCTTATCTGCTCATGCCATGTTTTGTACTGAGTTGAGTGTCTTGAGATGGTGGTGGAAGCTATAAGCAGAGATATTATCATTATTTAAGCAAACCTTGCTTATGCCATCTTTTTTTATTAATTGTTTCCTGTTGATGTTAGATGAGTACTAGTGTGCATATATTTGAAAGTAAATTCAAAGTATTTCTATCCATTTTTCAACGTTGTGTTTGTTGATGCCACCTTTCAACACCTATATTTTTTGTTGTGTTCGGTTACTAGGGCTAGACAACGGATTCGGTCTGGTTCGACCCAAACTCCTAAACCAAACCAACCCTTGGGTGAGAACTATGGGCCCAACTTCCGACTATTTGGGCTGTCAGGTTGCTTAATCGGATTTTTCCAGTTAAATGGGTAAATAGGCCATGTCAAAGTTCAAGTCTAAATTTAAAATCAATTGAATTTTTATTTCATTTTAATTTTTTTATAGGGCTGGTTATCTTAATCACTGGACTGGTTTAAAATTATGGCCAATTTAAATAATTGATTTTTCTTTTTACCTATTTTAAAATTTGAAATTGAATTATTTTCACTGAGTTTTAATTCAAAATATTAGACTATTATGACGCTTTCTTTCAAGACTAATGAGGAACCAAACAGAGATAACCACACTTTATATTTTGAATTCTAAAATTTAGCACATTATTATCTAAGTTTACTTAATCGGTACACCCACAATGAATTTGCTGCAAAAAATCGTCTCGCACATGTTCATAGAGTAACTGAATTCAATTTAATACAAAACATTGTAGTCTAAATCACTCACGCCCAAAATCATTTTAAGAGTTAATCAAATGTTAAATATTATTACGAAAGAAAACTAAAACATCTAACTAAATTATTTAAAAGAATCACATAATAATAGTCTTTTAGTTACTGAGATAGTGAAATCAGCGGTTGTAAACTTGTATCGATTCAATTGAGGAAAAGATGTAAATTTGAATCGATTCAATTGAGAAAAAGAAAAACGATAAAGATTGAGAGGCTTGAATCCGTAACAGTTAAAACAACAAAAGTACTGGTATATATCGCCAGATGAGATAAAAGAACAAACACATAAAACACTAACAATTTCTGACTATTCAACCGATAAACATGTATAGTTAGATGATATCACTTTATTAACATAACTAAGTCCTACATTGATACCAAACAATAGTAAGTGAAAAAAACCTAGTATAATAGTGAGAAAAAAAACCATAATCAATGAGTGAACATTTTAAAATTTATTTTACACCTATTTGTTCTACCTCTAAATTAATACGGTTCTAATCTTTGATATTTTTTATCACAAGTGATAAAATCTCATTAAAATCAATATCTTTTCCTTAAAGAAAATCTTTCACCACTAATATGAATTTACACCTTGAAGATTTAGAATTACTCTAATATTTCACTTCGTAATTTCACCTATTTTCCAAAGTCTTTCTTGTCCTTTAGGTTCACTAAATAATAAACCTGATTATCAAATAAAGATTTCATCTGTTTGCATAACATCCAATCCTTTTTGATTTATATGAACTCGTGGAAACACTTAAGTTAACCCTCATTAGTTAAGATCACATACTATTCAAAATCATACTTTGTAGACAATGTCTCTGTCTATTGGGTCTCTTAAATTGAACTTGAAATGATTCAAGAGTGTCATCAAGATCTTCATCATGTGAAATATAATACTCCTAGCCATCAACATTAGCTAGAAAATTGTTAGATTATGCTAGACTAATGTTCAGATCTAAATTGCATACACTACTTGTTTACCGTGGAAATTGGTAAACAACCGCTGATCTTCCAAAAGGTTACTTATTTGGTGACTCGTAGGATCGATCAGATTGATCCTAAGACATGGTTGATTTTCTGGAGTTTGACTAATCCTAATGGTGATTAATGCTGGTAAAGTAAAGATACTTTAAGTAAATTGCATGAAGAAAAGCTTGATAGAATAAATAAAAGCGTTAAACAAAAGGCTTCGACGGAGATGAGTAAATGAAAAGCAATAAAGTGCTTGAATATAAAAGACTTTGATTAATTTAAATGGTGTTTCACACATACATTCTCAACGATTCTTTCGCTCACACTGGGTACTTGAATCTAGATGAGTGACTTGTATAAAATGATGAACACACCGAAAACTACGTGAACAACTAGTATTTATACTAAAACAAATCCTAAGTAACCGTTGGGCAGTTACGTCGCTTCGAGATGATGCCACATGGCACACTCACAGCATTCGACGCTCCTGATCTCGGCACATTGCACTTGGTAACTGCTGGGAACCGTTTTCCCTCCAAGCATTCAAATCTCAAATCGTTCGACCCTGGACATCAGGTACCTTTGTCGAGAGGTTCCTTCGACGTCAAAGACGACAAGATTCCCACTTAAAGGAAATTCTCTAAGTACCTTGTCATTCTCTGATGAGCCTTCGACAGGATCAGCTGGTCGAAGCCTGGAAACTCTTCTGACTCATAATTAATGGTCTATATTGATAACAAACAAGGGTGTCGAATTTAGGAGCCAACAAATTGCCCCCCAAGAATGTCTTATTTCGACGCTGAAAAGAAAAAACCATTCTTTGAGATTCCACTCGACACTTGTCCTTCACTCTTAGCCACAGATTAGTTTGTGCGCTTTTCGCCTCCTACCAACCAACTGACAATCTCAAAAAAACCATCATTCCACTTGTTCCTAAGACGTCACTTCAGTAAGGCGTTTGGCATGCCCAATGTCTTTTCACAGATTGTCATCATTGAGAGTAGGGAGAATTCATCTGACCCTAGTCATGATGCTTCTACTGCATCAGGGAAGTCCACTTCGACTTCTCCTCTTGATGAGGTTTTGAAGAAGGTCAAGGCTCAGTTCTTCAAAAAGGATCTAATGAAGGCTTTGGAGGGGGATCCTACTGCCCCGTCTTGTCTGGGAGCTGTTCTGGGTGCAGTTGATTTGCTTGCTGTTTCTCCAGAAGTTTCCAGCTTCATCTTGGAGTTATACTCCATCATTGACCAAGTCTCTGCGGACTATAGACGTCGAAGGGGGTTCAACAGCCAACTCGAAACACTACATGGCAAGAGTTCTTCTGCTTGGACCGAAGTAGCTGAATCAACTTCTCGAATTGCAGAATTGTCGAAACAGAAGACATCCAAGCAACAGGAAATTGACGCCATAGATCAAGATAACGCCTCTATAAGGGCGCAAATCGAGGAGTTAGAGGCCAAGTTAAATGCTAACACCAAGCGCAAAGAGGAACTCCTTTCGACTGTTTCGGACGCAGAGAGCCAAGATGAAGTTACCCGAGGCTTAGAGTTCGCTGAAAGGGCCCAAGCCCTTGACGACCAGATTGCCAAACTTTCTCAGGCGACTGCCTTGTGTAACAAACGGCTGGAGTTGCAGCAAGCCAAATATCTTCGACTTAAAGCTTCCATCCCTTTCTAATTTGCTCAGCACCTCATTGACCATGTACTGTAATATTTGTAATACAATGCAACCATTTTGGTTAATCAATATATAACTTTCCATTTTGGCTCTTTATGGTTAACTTGGTCATTAACTGTTATTTATTTTGATCTCTTGGAGCATAGGTTTATATTTTTTCAAATATTTGCCGTTTACTCTCAAGAGTCTTTTATCTTCGCCTAACTCTTCAACCTCATAAGCTCCACCAGAAAAATTTGGATAATTCTGAACGGTCCTTCCCACTTGGGTGACCATTTTCCCATGCTTCGATCTCTTCGATCCATGGGGAGAATCACCTTCCAAACTAATTCTCCAGGCGAGAATGCCTTAGGTTTTACTTTTTTATTGTAAGAGTCTTCCACTCTTTTCTTCTGAATTCTCAGTAGGTCGAGAGCGCGTAGTCTTTCCTTGTCTAAATCTACTAGTTCGTCTAACATCATATCCCAATAAACCTCAGAGGGAATATCTTGATGTCTCTGAACCCTTGCTGATTGAAGACAAATTTCCGCTGGCAGTACTGCGTCATGACCGAAAGTTAGCCGATATGGTGTTGTACCTGTGGCTTCTTTTGGGGATGTTCGACAGGCCCACAAGATATGGTCTAACGTCTTATGCCAATTTTTTGGCTTCTTTCCTACATGCTTTTTTATCAGGCCGATCACTATTTTATTCGCTGCTTCGACTTGACCATTTTCCTGTGCATAATAAGGTGTTGATGTTAGGAGTCTAAAGCCTGTTTCTTGAGCGAATTCCTGCATCTTTCGACCAGTAAACACTGATCCTTGATCAGTCGTTATAGTCTCAGGGGTTCCAAATCTGTAGATAATATTCTTTTGAATAAATTCAATGACATTTTCTTGGTCTGCATTGACTAAAGGGATAGCTTCGATCCATTTAGTGAAATAATCAATGCCTACCAGTATATACTTCTGGCTCTTTGATGATGCTGGTCGAATCTCTCCAATAAGATCCAACGCCCATCCTCTAAAAGGCCAAGGTTTCACTATTGAGTGAAGTTTGCTTGCTGGTACATGTTGGATGCCCGTATGGGCTTGACATTCCTGGTAACCCTTCGCGAACTCAACACAATCTTTCAAGATAGTGGGCCAGTATAGTCCTTGTCGAAACAACAACCATTTCATCTTATGGCCTACTTGGTGAGCCCCACATGCTCCATCGTGCGTAGTTGAAAGGGCTATGTATGCTTCAGTTTCGCTTAAGCACTTTAGCAATACCCCTTCAGGCGTCTTTTTAAATAACTCATTACCCATGAGTACGTAACTCAACGCCCTATATTTTATTTTTCGTTCTGTCAAAGCTGCTGGATTTTGTAGATAATCTACAATGGGTTTCCTTCA